GAGGTAATTTGGTGACATGGAGGAGCAAGAAACAGAATGTAGTAGCTTTATCCAGTGCAGAAGCCGAGTTCAGAGGCATGACTAAAGGGATTTGTGAACTTCTTTGGTTAAGAAAGTTGCTTACTGAACTTGGGTATAAACCTACATCCACAATGAATCTCTTTTGTGACAACAAGGCTGCTATAGCCATTGCACAGAATCCAGTTCAGCATGATCGTACTAAACATGTTGAGGTGGATCGACACTTCATCAAACAGAAGCTTGAGGCTAAAGTGTTTCAGTTTCCTTTTGTGAAATCCGAGGATCAATTGGCGGATATTTTGACAAAGGCGATTTCCAGTAAAGCATTCCACAATTCACTGGATCAGTTGGGCATTGGCGACATCTATGCACCAACGTGAGGGGGAGTGTTGGCGTGACTTGTGGATATTGACTTACTTTCCTTACACACCAAGGATTCCTATTTTATTTGTAATTGATTTACTTTAATTCCTGATTTCCTACTGTAAATAGATTTAGGAATTTATTATTTACTTGCCCATTCAGGTTTTGTTGTATTATAAATATGACCTCCTACAAGGAGAAGAATACATAGAAAATTCCCACAAACAAATATTCTCTTATAGTTTTCATATTTTAGCAGAAGAGGCCAATACATCAAGTTGAGGTCAAGAGAAGAAGGTGAATTCCACCAACTACCACACACTCGGGCAATTTCTAAGTTACTAATTACCACAGAATTTACCTCACCAAAATTGTAAACTCTTGAGTTGGCTCATTATTTAATAGCAAAAGGTATATCGTCAGTGTAGCGCACATACTTAATTCTCGCTTATTTACTCATAAAGCCTTGCGTCTATCTCATTGATTCGCGAGTTTACATATGACAAGCATACTATATTACACACATTGACACAATTCAATAAAAATCATTATTGTATAAATTTCTCGGATTGTGCCGACATGTTAGAACCAGCTTGGTGATCAAGTTGAGAAGAAGAAAAGTAACTTCAAGAATAACGACCCTCTGTCCGTAAAAAACCTACATCCCACCCAAAAACTAAAAGAAAAATAAAAAACCAATACAGAAATAGGAAAATAAAACACAGGCCATTTCTCATTGTCTTTCAAAGGGCATAACTGTCTTTCGACGCCTACAAACCACATCAGAACGCCACGTGGAAAGCTTCAGTTTAAATTAGAGTCCCGGAAAAGAACAAAACAAATCGGCATTTCGGCAGTTGCAGGACGCGCGGGTGGGTGGGGAAGATTTCGCCTTCTCTCTTCCGCTTCGATATTCCAAAGTCTGCAACTTTCAACAATTTTCTTTTTAATTCCATTTTTTAAAGATTAAATCTTTTTTCTTTTGACATTTCCCCATTTTGCCTCTATCTCTGTCTTCTTCATCTTATTCACCCCCCACCATAAAAAAGAGAAATTATTTTGATATTTCCTCCATTACCTTATATATATACGCATTTTTATTGAGACCCAGATAACACAATCCCTTTGGCGTCGTTTTGTCATGGTAGATTGATTGTTCAGGTATGGCTATCCATTTCTTCTTTGTTAATGTTGTTGTTTCAGCTCAACTGATTATATGTTTTCCCTTTTGGTATGTTTTTGGATTACTTTCAGAGGTCAACTGCACAAGAACGTGATGTTATTGTTGATGGGTTCGTGTGGTTTATCCATGTTATTGGTTTTAATCGTTGTCATGTTTCAATTCGGTGATGGGTTGTATGTAAAGCGTATTTATGTTGGTTGATTGTTTGTACTTGTTTGTAAAGATCTGATGAGGGCACTTTCAGCTATTGTTCATTTTTCCCTTTCATTTGCAAATATAAAATTTTCATTTTTGTAGGTTATTACTTTATACGTTCTTCTTAAGTTTGTGGGTGAACATACAAATTTTCAAAAGCAAATTTTTGAAATTCCCAGACATGATTTTTGTGTGTGGATGTTGTTAATGCATTTTGCTTTCTGTTCAAGGTTATTTCAATATCTGTCAACTGTAGATTTGTGTAGTATGTATGCATTTGAACTCTGCTAAAGTTATCTGCTTCCGTTTTTTGGATTTGTTTGTAACAGTTGTTTCGTATTTTCCTTTTCCTTTTTGAATGAAACATTTGTTGCAGATAAGTTATTTGATATAGAGATTTTGTTGATTTGGGTACGTTGAGATGCCTGGAATTGTTGAAGAGGTTGTATATGAATCGAATGGAAATTCCATGCCTAATAAGGAAAACCCAGCTCTAAATGGATTCCCAAAGGGTACCATGAGTCAGCAAAGTCCTGGGAGTACAGGACCTGATCGTCCAGTTGATGGGGTGGTTGACACCTCAATTGAGCAGCTTTATGAGAATGTGTGCGATATGCAGAGTTCTGATCAGTCACCCTCAAGACGTAGTTTTCGATCGGATGGTGAGGAGTCTAGGATTGATTCGGAGTTACACCATCTTGTTGGAGGAGAGATGAGAGAGGTGGAGATAATGGAAGAGGAAGTGCTACAAAAGCCAGCGTATGATTCTCGTAGTGATTCAAGTTTTAAGAAGGAAGCTTCGTCCTCGGATAGAAAACCAGTAAAGATGGATAAATCTGCAAGTACAAAATCCACTTCTTCAGGGAACTCTAAGAAAGTTGCTCCCTTGCAGGTGGACGCTGAAACTTCATCAAAACCAGTGTTGAAGGGAAGAAGTCCTGATAAACCTCCCATTTATGGGGTTAGTGATAAGAATCCACAAAAACAACATGCAGGACCCACTTCTAGATTGGAACTGAGGATGTGGCTGAATCAGGATTAAACAATCCGGATCTTGGGCCATTTTTGCTTAAGCAAGCTAGGGATTTGATTTCTTCAGGGGATAATCCCCAGAAGGCTCTTGAATTAGCTCTTCGAGCTGCAAAATCGTTTGAATTGTCTTCAAATGGGAAACCCTGTTTAGAGCTAGTAATGTGTTTGCATGTTACATCAGCAATTTACTGTAGCTTAGGCCAGTACAGTGAGGCAATTCCTGTTCTCGAGCGCTCAATTGAGATTTCAGCTATTGAGGAAGACCAAAATCATGCCCTTGCTAAATTTGCTGGCCACATGCAGTTGGGTGATACTTATGCTATGCTGGGCCAACTTGAGAATTCAATTATGCATTACACAAGTGGATTGGAAATCCAAAGACAAGTTTTGGGAGAAACAGATGTAAGAGTGGGTGAGACTTGTCGGTATCTGGCTGAAGCTCATGTTCAAGCACTGCAATTTGATGAGGCTCAGAGGCTTTGCCAGATGTCTCTTGACAGTCATAAAGAGAATGGTTCCCCAGCTTCTCTGGAAGAGGCAGCAGATAGGAGACTGATGGGTCTTATATGTGAAACGAAGGGTGATCATGAAGCTGCTCTTGAGCACCTTGTTTTAGCCAGCATGGCTATGGTTGCAAATGGCCAGGAAGTGGAGGTGGCTTCTGTCGATTGCAGCATTGGAGACACGTACTTATCTTTGTCTCGGTATGATGAAGCTACTTTTGCTTATCAGAAGGCACTGACAGTGTTCAAGACCGCCAAAGGAGAGAACCATCCATCTGTTGGTTCAGTCTTTATCCGTCTGGCTGATTTGTATAACAGGACCGGGAAAGTTAGAGAATCAAAATCATACTGTGAGAATGCCCTTAGAATTTATGAAAAGCCCATGCCTGGAGTCCCTCCTGAGGAGATGGCAAGCGGTCTCACAGATGTCTCTGCTATATATGAATCAATGAATGACCTTGAGCAGGCAGTCAAGTTGCTACAGAAGGCGTTAAAAATATACAATGATGCCCCTGGTCAGCAAAGCACAATTGCCGGGATTGAAGCTCAAATGGGGGTCATGTACTACATGTTGGGGAATTATTCGGAGTCTTACGACTCCTTTAAAAGTGCGATTTCAAAGCTCCGTGCAACTGGAGAGAAGAAAACTGCCTTTTTCGGAATTGTTCTTAACCAAATGGGCCTTGCTTGTGTACAACGTTATTCCATAAATGAGGCTCAAGAATTCTTTGAAGAAGCCAGGACTGTCTTGGAACATGAGTGTGGGCGGTATCACCCTGATACACTTGGGGTTTATAGCAATCTTGCGGGCACTTATGATGCAACTGGCAGGTATCGTCAATCTTTATCTTGTCCTACCACCAGTGTCATCTTCAATTGTCATTATGCATGCTTTTGTTCTTCTCTTGGTAATCCTGTTTTTTCAAATAATCAATTGGGTTTCCACTTGCTTTATGTTTCTTATTTTCATTTGTTCATGCTAGGTGGTAGTGATACAATTCTGAATGTAAAGGCTGATATCTGTTTCTTGTTCCTTTTTCTTATGCTGAAAGCCTGACAAGTTTAACATATGCAGCCCTTCCTTTCCTTTTTGGACTTTTTGTTGAAAACCAAGTTGTTAGAACATTGTTCTGATGGACTATTTGGGGAAAAAGAACTCGCTAAGCTGTAGAAGTTTTTGTAATTTATTGCTCTTTAGTTTTTTGGAAGAGACAATTTTTAGTTGGATGCAAAAATTATTGCTAATTAGGCATTTTGAGTGAGACAGTTTACAAATTATCTTGTTATTAACCCAGGTTGGAGGATGCAATCGAAATCTTGGAGTACGTCGTTGAGATGAGAGAAGAAAAACTTGGGACAGCTAATCCTGATGTAGATGATGAGAAAAGAAGGTTGGCTGAGTTATTGAAAGAAGCAGGCAGAGTTCGGAGCAGAAAAGCCAGATCACTAGAGAACCTCCTTGATGCCAACTCCCACAGTATAAGCAATGATGGTGTTAAGGTATGAAAAGAACGGCAATATTTGGGAAACAGGATGTAATATAGGACATATTTAAGAAGAAAAAGATAGAATAACCCAAGAATGAAGACGAAACAGTCGTTGGGTGTGTTGATAAGATTCTTGTTGTGTAGGGTGCATGAAATAAACTGAGGCTGGGGTTTTGGTTATATTATTAACTTATAATATACTGTATTGGCCGAAGTTTATATTATTTTGTGTCACACTATTTATGTAATTGGATGTACCAAGATTGGTACCAAATTCATCATCATTTGTAATACGACATTCAAGAATCATAGATTTGTTTAACACTGCTACAGTCTGAAGATTTATCTTTTGACGTAACCAATTATTCAGGATCTATGATGACATAAAATTTGGGACCCCAGTTGCAACTTGCAAGCCAATAATGTGATAATCTTGAAAAATAGATCTCTGGTGTTGGTGAGCGGTTGCTTTTTGCCATCTAGCGTCTACCTTTTATATGTTTAATGCAATTATTGTACTTTTGGAGCAAAAAAATTATGATTTTTCCACTCCGCCAGGCTATTGATAATTTAGATTGTTGTCAAGAAATGTCAACGGTTTGCTGTCAAGATCCCAGGTTTGCATTGAGAGAAACTTTCATACAACAGGGATAACACTTTTTGCTATCCCCGATCAGTAACACGATGATACGTAAGATAACTTTCCCACGTGTCATTGCGTTATTAAGCGATGATAGCAAAACAGTGCTATCCCCGTTATAAGTAAATTTTTTATAGTTTGCATCCGCCAACTGCAAAAGGGCAGAAAGTGATAAGATTTGTGAGGGCAAATCTACACACCTCTTGTATAGTTTCTCAAGAAAAAATAGCTAAGATTTATGAACCTAAAGCCACGCCACCATGAAACTCCAACTCATACTGCTAGCTGTGATTTGCTCTCCATCACAACAGACAACTTAACATTACATTTAAGAGAGGTGGATAGTCAACTTTGGTGCCTTGGTTTTCATTGCATGCAGGAGTTCTTCTTCTTCTCTCTCTCTCTCTCTCTCTCTCTCTCTCTCTCTTCCTTTTTTTAAGAGGGCTTGACATCATTTTGGTGACAATGTGTTATACAGCATTAAACTATTTGGAAAAGATTTGAATTTGACATAAAAATGTTGTGAAATTAGGTATTGGGTATGTGCCTAGGTTGATGTTGTGTTACATCCAATCCTGCCAGGTGTTTAGGTTAGACAAGATTTGAAAATTAATCTTTGGTGGGTCAATCGCTCTCTATGGTTGGGGGGTATACCATTGAAGTCAGTGTGGCCCTCTCCCACCCCAGCAGTAGGGTGGGGTATGTCTCTTCCTTTGTCTCCAGGCAATTCCTCTGTGTACTGGTCCTACTGGAGATTGTCACGACCGGTTATTACTTTGATTTTTTCAGGCTTATGTTTCTCGGTCCATGCTTCTGTTTCTTATAAAACTATGGCCAAGTACTTAAAAAGTGTATTTTAAATGGCTTCCAGAAAACATTGGTATCTGTGGGCTGCACCTTTCCAATCTGCGGTCTGCACATGATGACAACTAAACTGCTTAACAATTGTCATTGATAATTTTATATGCACAGTAAAGTACACTTCACCTAATGACAAAGAATGCTTGATGCTCTATGTACAATGTTGCAGGTGATTTGTTTAATTTGCCATCCCTCCGGTGGCTGGGAACACACATCAAAGTTTTCACATAAATAAACGCATTCTTGAGAATTTTTGGAAAATCAATCTCATAAACACCCAATTCAGAAAACTATTTCAGCTCCAAAAGGCTGCACTAGATCTTTAGGAACAAGTCTTCAACCCACAGGTTAGGATGTACCATCACTAGCCACTCCAATTGAGAAAGCATCAACCACTGCCATAGAGGTTGAGAAACACCTAACATGAAGCAACAATGAGAACTGAACGCTGCCCTGCAGTTGAAGCAAATAGACTTGTTACCGGTTCTTGAACTCCAATCTATTAACTAAGATGCAACTCAAGTTTCAAGCTTTCAACTGAGAGATCTCCTTCAACTTCCCCTCCCACATCCCCTACTCGATCCCACAAAAGAAAGAAAACTTTTACCTTGTTTCCTCAGCACATGGTTCATTTCATTTCCATCTCTTCTCAGTTTGCTGAACCATAACATAATTGGATGGCGTGGCGCCACTTGCAGCAACTGGCCAAACTGCTGGCTGCAAAACAATGTCACCAAACACCCACTTAGAGACCAGACTCAAGCATCCTTGAGAAAGTAAAAAAAATTTCCTACAATCTTTGGGATCATAACGTTTTTTGTTTAAAAATACAATTAAATCCTAAAACTTACTCTGGAAATGCTCCCAAAATAGAGGCCAATCGGTTGCAAAGATAGATGAATGGCTCTCACTAATAATTTCATTGCTGGAATGTAGGCCATTGAATGGGAATTATCTCAATCCTCCTCAATCACTTCAAACAGTAAATCGGTTCCTCTCTATTAAAAGCAACTTGGGTTAACAATTGACTGAGAATCATCCGATCATCATTTCCGTTGAAACTTTTTGGTTATTCTTTCTACTTGCCACTGAATACAGCAGATTGTCGTCTTTAAATGATACAAGATTTTCATTACTAACCTCATCAAGCCCAACACTTACAGTCAATGGTTGAGGAATATATCCTGCCTTCTTTATTTCACTTGTTAAACTTTCAATTATTGTATATATCTCGTCGGACTGATTATGAGACTGATCACCTGCAGTAAATATGTGAACATTACTATCCACTTCAATCCAACTACAGCCAGGCGTCTTCTTGAGTCCCATGCCTCTAATATCTGATCTAATCCTAGTAACTTCATTCCATTTCCCATAATCTTCATACAAGTTTGCAAGAAGGGTACGGTAACCGATACTAGTAGGATCAAGTTCAAAGATATGATCAGCTACAATTTCTGCCAGTCTTTCATCACCATGAATTTTGCATGATCCGAGCAATGATCCCCATATACGATCATCTGGGACACAAGGCATTGTCAAAATAATATCATATGCATGGCTAAGATGCCCAGCTCGGCCTAAAAGATCAACCATGCAGGTGTACTGTTCAAGTTGAGGTTCAATTTTGTAATCTTGAACCATACGTTTAAAATATTTCAATCCCTCTTCAACCCTCCCTGCATGACCGCATGCAGACAATAGAGCTGTAAAAGTGGCA